ATGAAAAGGTGTCCTGCTGGCTGGGTTTATATAGTGCACTAAACTAAGTTTGCTTTAATTGCGATTTGCTGAATAAATGAAAACGACTGGGCTCATACAACTCACTAACCTAAAACAAGCTCTTTATAACTATTGCCATTATATACCCTATTCTTAATCCATTTAGTTCAGTGTATACTGTCTATGCTAAATAATCAAGGTCCTCGAGATAATATTATCTTCCATTTGAAAATTGCTGTAATTGAATCTGGAACCTTCTGCATGGAAAGCTTATGTTCTGCTACTGAGATGTATGAATCTTCCTCCAGGAAATTCAAGGAATTTGAATGTGCACTATCATATTTTACATGTGGATTCATTTTGTTATTTGTGTGAGAAGTCTGTAGTAGATGGCTAAGAAAAATCAATAATTTGATTGTTTCTTGTGGCAGGTATATTATCTGCAATAGAAATATAAATTTGGATCCATGTCCAGCATTACATTCACTGTAGTACCTTGACTCTCCATATTAAGGGTGTGGGAAATAACTTTTGTCAACGATTTTCTCTTCCACATCAGAAAGCATTGGAAGATTATACTTTTTGTATGCTGTGTAGAAAAGAGCTCTGTTTTTACAAAGAAATTTGTATAAGCCCAAATGTGCTGTCTCTGTCTTGTGATGCACAATTTATGTTGATAATTCTGATATCACAATACCATATGCAGATTTGGCTTTATATACTCTTTAAATAATGATGTTTTAAGTGATAGCAGTGAAAAAGAAAGTTTGGAGATTTTTTCTTTCTCGTTATTTTATTTACAAGAAGACAGCTGAAAGAAGATCTGAAAATTCCTTCCAAGCTTATGTAATTAAACAGTACAAAGGGAAAAGCATGCAAGGGGAAATGTGCACAAATGAACTCCATCAAGTTCATATTGACCTAGAGGTACAAAACGTTCAGGGGCATTGCCATAGTCACTCGTTGTGTTAGCTATTGATGGCACATGACAGAAATTGGCATCAATAGTGCAGCTGGTGAAAAAAAGGAAAAGCCTCAATCAAATTAGAAATATCCAAGTTTGTCTTGTTTTGCAAACTACATTGGATCTAAAGTCAGTTTTCATTAGCTAAAATAGAAAATGGTTAAACAAAATATTGTTTTAGCTAATAAAACCAGGATAGTGCAAATTTAAGAAAATATTAAGCATTTCATTCTGCCCCTAGCCACATAACCTATTTCTCAGTGGGTTTTGTTGTTTGTGCTCAGCAATTTAATTACTATGCAGGACAGTATAGAGAGGAAGGATATTTTCATGATAACATTTGAAACTGCACATAGTCATATTGTTAGTCTATATGGCTAACTAAAGGGAGCTCTTCTTACTTCCTAGCTATATCACCTGAAATGCAAATATTGTCCTTTACTAGTAGGAAAATGATTTCCCCATCCCACCCAAATAATTGCCCTATATTAGGAATAGGGAATTCTTTTATATTGCTGGTAAAAATACGACCCATAAAAAAAGAAAGTAGCATGACGTCAAATACTTGTACCTCCCTGCTGAAAAGGGAGCTTGAAAATTAGCTTGAAAATTAGGTCTTGCTTAAAAGCAATCATTTATCTATGGAATTTAATCCTTTTACGTAAAACTTTCCTAAGGTTTTTCTCTCTTTTTCCTTACTCAATTTTCCCTCTGTTTGTCTCATCTCCGTTAAATATTGTTCTTTCTTTACTTCCCAGGTTTATGTTTATACCTTTTATCCCATCAGCATCCTGTTTTTTCCTAATTTTTTTTCTTGTGTACTCTCAAAAAGCTGATCCTAGATCTGAATCGGCGGGCTTGGGGTATATGTCTATTCAGAGGATGTCAAGGATCATTCTCTTGCTTAGTTCTCACAACTAAGGGGAGGATCGTATCATATATCATATCATATATCGTATATCATATCTGCATTACAGGGCACATGCGTGAAACAAAGCAATATTTCTGCAGCAGGCATAAGTTATAGAGAGGCTTGCTACTAGATTCACACACTAAGACTAAAATGAGATTGAGCAGTTTGTGATGTTGTAGGAACCCAGTTTAATACAATTATACAAGCTGCAATCTATAATAGGATGTATTTGTTTGGCCATGCTATGCTATAAATGGTTTTGTTAATTCATATTAAAGATTTAGTGCCTTGAATGAACCTAGCAATTTTAGTTTCAAATACAAAGCCTGAATGGCACAAAAGCATCTCTCTCATATAAGCATCTTCAATCATTCAGAAGAGAGGAGGAAGGTACCAACCCCCTGCTCAAGGAGCAGACACTACTGTATACCATTTCAGACAAGTGACTGCCCAGTCTCTTCTTAAAAACCTCCAGTGATGAAGCACCTACAGCTTCTGGGGACAAGCTGTTCCACTGGTTAATTGTCCTCACTGTTAGGAAATTTCTCCTTAATTCCAGGTTGCTTCTCTCCTTCATTTGTTTCCATCCATTATTTCTTGTCCTGCCCCTCTGGTGCTTGGAAAATAAGTTGTCCCTCTCCTCTTTTGGCAACTTCTTAAATTCTGGAACTCTGATCATGTGTCCCCTAGTCCTTCTTTTCTTTAGACTAACCAAACCCAAATCCTGCAACTGTTCTTCATACCTTTTAGTCTCCAGGCCTTTAATCATCTTAGTTGCTCTTCTTTGCACTTTTCTCAAAGTCCCTACATCTTTTTTGTAATGTGGTAACCAAAACTGGATGCAATATTCCAGGTGTGGCCTTACTAAGGCTTTATAAAGTGATACTAATACTTTACATGATTTTGATTCTATATCTCTGTTTATACAATCAAGGATTTTATTAGCTTTTTTGGCTGCCGCCACACCCTGCTGGCTCCTATTTAAGTGATCGTCCATTAGGACTCCAAGGTCTATCTCACAGTTACTGTTTTTGAGCCAGGTTTCACCAAATCTGTACTTGTACTCTTGGTTTTTCCTGCAGCCCAGTGGCCAGCAGGCCAGGGCCTGGTAGTGGGCTGTGGCCCATAGGTTGGGGACCCCTGGACTAGAAGACCTCCAAGGTCCCTTCCCACTCTGTTATTCTAATTCTATCCTATCTTATCCTATTTGTCAGGAATGCCTAGATCTGTTCAGTGACTGAATATTTTAAAATACATAAATAGATTTCTCTGGGAGAATTCTCTTTTTTATTTGACAAATGCCAGCATTCAAGCAGTTTCTAATAAGGGGACATTTTTGTGTAGAGCTAGCACTGCAGGGTTAACAGTGTTTGCTTTTGCTACTAGCTTTCTCTATATAAATGAGATACTAGAAAAATATCCTCAGTCTTCTGACAATAGCAATGGGAGCAGTAACTGGGACCCCAACTTACTATTGCAAATGTCTGCATGATAAACATGTTGATGGTTATTGATCTGGGACAATGAAGAGAAGCCTTGAAAGACAAAGTTGATTCTCCATTTGTTATGTCTTCATTATCTTATACACTTATGAGTTTGTTGAATAGATGATAAATTATTGTCATTTTGTGTATTACCTGATAAAATCACCATAAGTACGTTAGATTTAATGTGCTGTAAAGTACACAGAGCCATATAACCATTGGTAACTGTTTGCTTGCTATTAATAATTAGCAGCCTTCCTACTGGACTGTCAGCGTGAAGTCGGTATTTGGAACAATAGAAACTTAACTGCACAAAACTGATCTGAATTGGATTATACTAGTAGCAAAGACAAAAAGAATATTTTTCATTTCAATCCACAACAATATAACGTAAAATAGAGAAAGCTATTAAATTATTAAACTGGACAGCATTACATACTGATTAATGGTTTTTGAAAAGGAGGTACTTTTATTCCTCCACAACTGTTTACTAACTATATAAATTCCCTGAAAGATGGGCAGCTATAGGTCACTTTATAATTTAGAGATTATCTGTACCCCTTTCAGTCAAGTTTCATGTCTAGACTGAGATAGCAATTGATCATACTTGTGGATAATCTATGGCAGAAATGGCATAGATTATGTATCCATCCTTGCTTTCAATATGGCTGATTGTGGTATCTTTCTGGATCAATTCAAAAAGTTGTAAGTGGGGGAGCCAAAGTAATACAAAGTTTTCATCCTTCTCCCAGGGTCAGTTCCACTTGGTGTTGATGGGGGCCAGTGTGGAGTTTCTCAGAACTCCTGTTTCACATCTACATAAAACCAATGGATGAGGTCATCTGTCAGTAAGGGGTAAAGCATTCTCAATATGCTGATATTAGTTATAGCTCTATGTCCAAATAAAATGATATTGTTGAGGTTATTTCTTGGTGTCTGGAAACACTGGATGAGAAGGAACAGATTTGAACTCAACATTAGCACAAGTGGTTGGAAAGAATTGGTTTCTTTTAAACCATTCCTTATCAATATGTTACTGTCTTGAGATCCACCTGTGTAATTGTTTTCTTGTTTCAAGCCTAATAATAGTGTTAAGATGAACTGTCAAAGATCCAATCTGTACACTGGCATGGAACTATAAACTATCTTAGCCAATGTGAATTCTTTGACTATTAGAAAGCCAGAGTCAGTTGTATGTCAACACACATGTCCTGTGCAGACTTTCTTGGAAAGACTTTAAGCAGTCATCTAATATAACAGCAAATGCTACTATATTTAAACTCAGTTCAGTAGCAATGTAGCGTTGGTCATGATTAAACTAGAGAAAGGTTGGATATAGTATAATCTGCACTTCAGATTGGACTGTTGGAAAAAAAATATTCCAAGAAGATAATGGGAAAATCACTTCCCACATTATTGCCGAGAAAAATATATAGATGCACCCATAAAACCTGGCTTTATTCACATCAGCTTGTTAGTATATATGCAACTTTTCCATCAAAAATAGGAAATTTAGAGAGGCTTCTAAATTAACTGTGGCATTTATAACTAAAAACATGCTGAAAGTTGACTGTTTGATTTGCATGGGAATAGATTGAATATTAATATAACATTGCTTATTTATATGCCTTTTTTTCAGAATGGTATTTCAAAACTTTGGGATTTCATGAGGACACATGACAGGTAAATTTCAAAGAATGCAACTGGTGGACAATATGCTACTGTATACTTTTTAAAATAATTTATTCTCTCATTCTCATTCTGTCTGTTTCACATAATATTTATCATTTTGAGACTCTCTATATATATTTGTGTTGCCAATTCCACGAAGTAAACCTACATTACTATATGTATGTAAAAGGATTAAACAAAGTTAGGAGCAGATTATGAATCTGTACTTGCGGGTGTAATCTCTTGAGTATATGATTTGGTGGTCATGTTTTTACATCCTGGCAATATTTTGTGGGGTGCTACAAAGCACTGCTTCATCCCCAATGTTACTTATAGCTTATAAAATCATTAAGGAAGGTCCTCAAGAACTTTAAAGTTAAGTGTACACTTCCATGTCATTTAAATCAAAATACACATATCTTGGATCAGTGTCTAAATACTGTACAGTGATATGGTGGATAAGGGCCCGTAAACTGCAACTGAATCTTGAGAAGCAAAGATAATAGATGGAATTACATGCATTAAATGGGATTATACCTCTTCAATGACTTCCATGAATAGTCCCTTACCAACTTCAGATGGATTATTATGCTTTCGTGGACAGGAACAAACTAGAGAGATTTATGTACTCATAATGTCAAATTTAAATAACTGTAGTACTACCTGTGAGAGACTGCTTGTGAAGGGCTATCTTTATGTTTGATTCTGAAGCTGCATCTTGTGCAAAATTATTATGATGTTTGCTTTAAATATATGCCAACTAATATAACACATGCTGCTATTACTTTAGATCCGATGGAGTGATTACATAATATCATCTACTGAGACTCCAGAAGTGTTCTCTAGAGCAGCACCGTCCTCTGGAATGAGGTTCCCCCTGAGATTGATTGATTGATTGATGCATTTATTTATATAATAAATTATTTATTGGCTGTCCATCTTAATTCCAAGTAACACTGGGCAGTTTACAATCATAAGAAAATAAAAACTATACAAATATAAAAGTATTAGCTCTCATGCTGCTGGCATTTCAGAGGGCCTTGAAGACCTGGCTTTTCTTCGAGGTCTTTGGCTAGGATGGGGATAGCCCCTAAAACATGCTGCTGATAGGTTGCAAATGCCAAGACGAGTACTGATAATATAAATACATCTTTTGTTTGTTGATGGAACAGTGGTACATTTTTACTGATTTATGTTGTTTATATTTGTTTATATATTATGGGCTTTTTAGTCTATAGGTTCTCTCATTTTACAATTTTTTTGAAGTACGCTGCTTTAATTTCTATTTTTATTATAATATCTACATTTTGCCTAGTCAAAAGTCAAACCCCGGGGACGTTCCATCAAACCCCGAATTTGGCAAAGAGAAAACACCCAATGACAGTTACACAAGCAAGAAATGCCAGAAAGCAATTACTGCTAATAAGAAACCGGCAACCGGGAAACAGCCTATTCCATTAGGCCCAATGACAAGATCTAGGAGCCGGGTGCAGACTCTGGCCAATCTATAAAGAGGACTCTCCTACTGACCGGCATTTTGAACCCTGATGATGTCAGCAGTTGCTGACGAAAGCTAGGCGTTTTATTGGTTTTATTGTAATTTTATTGACATTTTACTAAATTTTATTAAATTTTTTAGCACTCCCTGGTGCTCACATTTATTTGTTTGGTTTTAAATATGGATATACCCAGGGATCATATTTTTGTGTAATTGTTAACATACATACATACATACATACATACATACATATATGTAGGTCTTTGGTTGTTCGGGTTTTCTCCCGCGTAAAATTGGAAGTGTCTTGGCGACGTTTCGACGAAGTCCCATTCGTCATCTTCAGGCTGGTGTTTTCAGCTTCGTGCTTTGAGCAGCAATGTGTGGTCTTAGCTGTTTCTTCCTTTTAACTGCCAGTGGGGGTATGAACTGATTGGGTGGGAGCTTGGCTGTGTTCTGATTGGGTGGAGGTGTGTTCTGAATGGTTAGGGGCTTGGCTGTGCTCTGATTGGCTGGGGGAGTGTTCTGTTTGGTTGTGCTCAGGTTAGTCTGAGTTGCAGAGGGGTTTGAGATTTTGGGCTGCCTTGCTATTTTTTGGCTTCGCGTTCGTGGTCGTGCTTCCTCTTCATGGAGGGTGTCAGTTTGCTTCATGTATGGATTGGAGGGGTTTAAAGTGGCTAATGATGCAGCTGTGGTCTGGCTTCTGGTTTGTGGTCGTGCCTCGTCATCGGTGTGGCTTTGGGTTTGTTTTTTGCGTGGATGTGTGGTGGTGACATCCTGTGTGGTTTTTGTGAGTGTGGGTCTGGTATCATTTTTTGTGTTAGGGAGTCGTTTGTCAATAAGGGCGGGTTTCCAAATGGCTGGTAGGCGGGAGGTATCATCTCGCTTGTTCATGCTGTGTGGGCGTTTTTCTATCTCGATGGCTTCTCTGATTATTCTGTTATTAAAATGTTCACTTTTGGCAATGGTTCTGGTATTTTTAAAGTCAATTTCATGTCCTGTGGCTTTAAGGTGTTGGACCAGGGAAGATGTTGGTTCCTCTTTTTTGACTGAGTTCTTATGTTCTTCAATGCGTGCACTTATTCTTCTGTTGGTTTGTCCGATGTATGTGGTGGGACAAGTGGTGCATGGGATTTCGTATACTCCTTGATTTTCTAATTCAATTTTATCTTTGGGGTTTCTAAGGATGGTGGATATTTTTCTGTTTGTGCAGAATGCTGTTTTGATGTTGTGTTTATGGAGGATCTTACTGATTCTGTCTGTGGTGCCTTTTATGTATGGGAGGAGGGCTTTGCCGTTTTCTTGTTCTTTGTCTTGGATTTTAGTGGGGGTTTCTTTTTGGATTAGGTTTGTAATCTTATTTCTATGGAATCCATTGGATGTTAGTACATTGGTGAGAGTGTGTAGTTCGGGTTTTAGGTGTTGTTCGTCAGCTAAGCGTTTTGTTCTGGAGATGAGTGTCTTGGCTACAGAGTTGATCTGTGCTGGGTGGTGGTGTGAGAGAGCGTGCAGATAGCGGTTTGTGTGTGTTTTCTTCTGGTAGATGGTGTGTCCTAGGGAGCCATTGGATTTCTTGTAGACTAAGACATCCAGGAAGGGAAGTTGGTTGTTAGCTTCTGTTTCCATGGTGAACTGTATTTTGGGGTGTAGGCTGTTGAGGTGTGTGAGGAAGTTGTCCAGTTTTTCTTTCCCATGTGGCCAGATTATGAAGGTGTCGTCTACGTATCTGAGCCAGAGTTTGGGTTTGTGATCCAATTTTTCTAGAGCTTGGGTTTCAAAGTGTTCCATGTAGAGGTTGCAATGACAGGTGAGAGGGGTGATCCCATGGGTGCTCCTTCTGTTTGTTTGTATTTTTGTCCATTATAGATGAAGTATGTGTTGGATAGGCAGTGGTTGGTCAGATCTAAGATGATTCGTCATCTTCGGGCTGGTGTTTTCAGCTTCATGCTTCAAGGAGCAATGTGTGGTCTTAGCTGTTTCTTCCTTTTAAATGCCAGTGGGGGTATGAACTGATTGGGTGGGAGCTTGGCTGTGTTCTGATTGGGTGGAGGTGTGTTCTGATTGGTTAGGGGCTTGGCTGTGCTCTGATTGGCTGGGGGGTTGGCTGTGCTCTGATTGGCTGGGGGAGTGTTCTGTTTGGGTGGGGGCTTTGTTGTGCTCAGGTTAGTCTGAGTAGCGGGGGGGGGGGGTTTAAGATGATGGGCTGCCTTGCTATTTTTTGGCTTCGCATTCGTGGTTGTGCCTCATCTTCACGGAGGGTGTCAGTTTGCTTCATGTATGGATTGGAGGGGTTTAAAGTGGCTAATGATGCAGCTGTGGTCTGGTTTCTGGTTTGTGGTCATGCCTCATCATCGGTGTGGCTTTGGGTTTGCTTTTTGCGTGGATGTGTGGTGGTGACCTCCTGTGTGGTTTTTGTGAGTGTGGGTCTGGTGTCATTTTTTGTGTTAGGGAGTCGTTTGTCAATAAGGGAACACTCCCCCAGCCAATCAGAGCACAGCCAACCCCCCAGCCAATCAGAGCACAGCCAAGCCCCTAACCAATCAGTTCATACACCCACTGGCAGTTAAAAGGAAGAAACAGCTAAGACCACACATTGCTCCTCAAAGCACGAAGCTGAAAACACCAGCCTGAAGATGACGAATGGGACTTCATCGAAACGTCGCCAAGACACTTCCAATTTTACGCAGGAGAAAACCCAAACAACCAAAGACCTACATACAAACACCCGCGAAAACCTCAGAAAACAAATGTATGTATGTATGTATGTATGTATGTATGTAACATTTTCCAACTTCCAAAGGAGACTCAGTTGTAAACCATATAACCGTGATAAGGACAACCCCCTGACCCCCCCACCCCTCTCCACTTGATCATATGAACGGAACTCTAAGTGACAGCTCCCCACCAACAAACACACAACTATAAGAGCCGAGGTGGTGCAGCAGTTAGAGTGCAGTACTGCAGGCCACTTTAGCTGACTGTTCAGCAGGTCAGCGGTTCAAATCTCACCGGCTCAAGGTTGACTCAGCCTTCCATCCTTCCGAGGTAGGTAAAATGAGGACCCAATTGTTGGGGGCAATGTAAATATATATATACATTGCTTACTGGTGTACACCGCTTAGAGAGTGCTTGCACTTAAAGCGGTATATAAGTCTCATAAATAAATAAATAAATAAATAACTACCATTTAGCCATCAACACATCAATCATAACGAACAGTCTTTGCATGACTCCCTACAACACCCTGTAGGTGGACTCCCTTTAGAACAGAAAGATAATATGCAAAGCAATGGTATAAGACTCGTGAAATTGCAGAACGAACAAAACGTAGTAAAATCTGAAAGTGGTTACGATGAGGAGCCTCCTTCCAGTTGCTCTGTGGAACACGAGATGACAACCCGATCAAAATCGAGTAAAAAGAAACTCCCCCTCCCTCCTCCCCCCATGCATTCAACACGAGGACGATCGGTTGAACAGCAATTGCAGCCAAGACAGGAGAGCCCCATAAGAGACGAAG